TATTTTATCAATTATATGGATTTTGTGGATTGTATGCACCGGTATGGGACGGTGTCATACTAGGGACAGACTGATTCAAAATACTTAGTCCTACCTATTTTGGAATAAGGGTACGAATTATAAAAACATAATTCTCCTTATATTTAAGTCTGTGCAGTTGAATAAGCTGAACGACTTACTGGATCTCTTATATAAGTCTGTGCGACTGAATAAGCTGAACGACTTATTGGATTTCTTATGGATGGATATGAACGGATTTTAAATATATGGTTATGGTACCATGAGATGAGCTTGAGTCTCAGACTCGTCGGTTAGGGTACGTATATGCAGTGGATGCGTAGCTGGCTATAGTAAGTTGAGGTGTACCCTGTTAGGTCTAGGTACTCATGCCCACCTTTGGGTGTGTTTTCGCATGTTACCTTCTATTCAAGTTGAGACCCCTACTGTAGTTCAGTGAATGTCCCTTAGTGTGGATATATATATATATATATGTATGGACTAAATAGCTATTGTTGAGATATCTATGGTGTATCTGCGTATCGGATCACTGTTTGGATTACAGTTAGAGAAGAATTTGCATGTGGGCCTGACCCACTCTTATTTTTACAGGTGTTCGTTAGTTCCAGTCTTAGAGCTGGATCGTGCTGAGCAGAAACAGGCATTCACTCCACCGATGCTGTAGGATTTTGTTTCATGTTTTAGGCTTTGGTTTTTTTTTTTTCTAGTCATTTGAGTTCAGTGGGATATTTTAGGGGTCTACTAGATGGATTCCCGAGTTGTATAATTTGGAGAACGATTTGTATTCGTGAAGGATCAGTTGTAACATAATAGTTTTATTTATCAATAAAATTTTATTCTGAGGTTTCAGTTTTTAGATTATCATTGTAGTTTCTTTTTCGAAATTTATTTATTCCTATTTTTCTTAATTGTATTGTGTTCGTTAACTGCTAATTGGTTTGATATCCTCGGGTAATCGGGCGTGGGCCTGGCCAACCCGCATCCGGAGATCCGGGGATATCACACCTCAGGTGCTCTTGGTTCAACCCCAGAAGCACTCCATCCAGTGTATCCTTGAACCTCTCTGATAACGTCCTAGTTTCCACTCTCTGTATCTCTTTATCTCACGGTATAAGTATCAGGAAATAGGGTTTTGTTTTGTAACCCTAAACCAACGTATAATACTGTATTTATAGGCTTCAACACAACCCTAATTCTAATACAGTCGGCTACATCCGTGTAAATAAAACCCTAATATAACTATATGTGTGCCTCCATACAGTCATGTTAAAAACAATTAAATTTAATTAACTTAATTCAATTAAAACAACTAAATTACATCGGTTAAATAATTATCTATAATTAAATCAATTCAATTAAAACAAGTAAATAATTAAAGACCATTAAATCACCACAACGAAAACAATTACAATTAACACATGATCACGTCAACAATTAATACAAATAGAAACAAAAGGCCAGTTAAATAAATAAAAAAAACAAATAAACAATTAAATAAAAATAAATGCAATTTAAACAATTTAATAATTACCAGGACTATCCTTTTGAAATCAGGGGTATTACAGCAAACACGAAAAATCCTTTCTCTATATTTTTCACATAAAAAATATCAGAATAGAAGAATAAAATTAATGCTCTCAAGAGAAAATTTCATAAAAGAAATAAACTAACTTTACTTATATTTCAGCCATGGTGGCTTCATCACTCCCTTGAGAATGGGTTCTTAAGCTAGCATGCTAATAAGAAAACAAAATATATATAAAAATAAAAATGCTCTTCATAACAAAAATGATAAGAAAAAAATTGAAGACAAAAATTTTCTAACTTTTCTTATTTTCTCTCACTAACTTTGTACATCAAATCTCCTCTACATATGTCCCTATTTATAAATTTTAGAATGGAACGATTAAAAGGAGAAAATTCTAATTATAGAAGTGAAAATAAAATAAAATCTTCCTAAAATCTTGCTGCTTTCCAATTTGGATTTAGTTGTTTTCTAATTTGGCTTGATATCTTTGACTTGATGTGTTTTCCAATTAGGCTTGATATCTCTTCCAATTTGCCTTGATCTTTGCTGATTTGATGGAAAATCCAAATTTAAATTTGACTTTGACTAATCGTGTAATCCCACATTTTTGCTATTTTTGTCTCTTTTCTTTTTATTCCGAAATCAGCCCCTATATAACATGAAAAGTAGGGATAAGAACATTTATCTAATAAAAAATATTATTTAATAATTTATTATTAAATATAAAATAATAAGTTTTGTGCGCTTATCAATTGGATCCAAATTGAGTAATTCCCTCCCTGCAAAGCCAAGATCAACACTTATGCAATTGGATCCTATCAGGAGTCTTTCTAGACTCAATTCATTATTATTGTTAAGTGAGTGTTTCGTGATCCGATTCAAAAGTTTAAGCTATTAGGTCGGGTTAACACCCAACTCATAAATACCCATTCAATTTTTCGTCCGGATTCGATGTGGTATAATTTCCCCTTTGTTATATTCTCCCTAGGCCACCCGAACTCACAATACCCTCGTTGTGGCTTGGACCACCCTACCTACCCAAAGTGAAGACCCAGACACCTTCCGGGCTGGGCGCTTAACGTAACACTGGATCAAGGATTGGGTTTGGCTTTGATACCAACTATAACGGGTAGGTGATTCGCGATCCAACCTAAAAGTTTAAACTATTAAGTAGGGTTAACACCTAACCCATATATACCCGGATCGGATGTGGGACAAGCTTCCCCTTGTTACACTAACCAATCATTCTGAGCCTGTCTACTTCCCTCATTGCATTCTCTCTCTCTCTTGTCCACCAAAAATTATTACACAGTTCGAGAAATTATTACATAATTCGAGAGAAATTATTACATAATTCGGGAGAAATTATTAGATAGTCATGATCAATTGACATTTGGTGAACCAGACTCTCGGACTAAGAAAATGACCCCATAAGAGTATTAATATATTACAAAAAAAATCTCAATATTAGCTTTCATTAAATTAGTACACCAAATGACCAAATGTCAAATCACCAGAACTATCTAATAATTTCTCCCGTTCGAGACTGGTCACACACGAATTACTGGTCAACATGTAAGTTGTGTGCGTGTATGTAAGTTGCTTGCAATTTCCTAAATTCATTCACTGAATCAAGGGTAAATTACATTGACCTACCCACATATTTGTCAAATTAATTATATTATCCTCTCTGGTTAGACTTGTCAAATTTGAAATTATGTTTCCATCCTTAAATATATTGTATTTTATTGTGATAAATATGTATTCCAAAGGTAGAACTTGAATTTGAAATTTATAAAAGTGTTGATATCAACATTTTTCGTCGTTGACTGTTAACGAAGAGAATGTATATGGTATATATTAATAAACAAATCTTAAGGGAGGTAAGTATAATTTGACAAAAAAGAAGGAAAGTCAGTGTATATTGATGAAACCTCTGAAAAGGTCATTGTAATTTACCCTTAATCAAATAGTATAAAAAAATTTCCTTTACATATTTGAAATCCCATTTTAACCCAACCATCCTTTCACTGTCTCAAGCGTCTTGAATTTCACTAAGATTAAAAAGTTTTATCTCCTATCCCACAGGAGCGGAGCCAGGATCTTGAGGTTGGGGGGGCCAAAATTATAAACAACATTTTTTTTTTTCCTAATTGGTATTCACACACACATGCCTTCATTGAGACTCGAACTCCTGACCTCTTTTTGAGAAGTAGGAGTTTGGTACCGCTAGGCCACTAGCCTGTTGGTAATTATAAACAACATTACCTAACTAGAACTTTTGAAAAAAAAAATATATTACGTAGGCAAAAATATTTTACTATTTATTATATTCACAAAAAAAATATATCTATCTAAAACTTTTCCCAATTTATTTAAATAAAAAAACTAGTTATTTAAATAAAATTTTTATCAAACTTTCTGAACAAACACAAATAAGATTTATGCCAAAATTATAAAAAAAAATTCAATTAAATAACTCTCTTTATTTACCGAAAAAAAAAACAAAAATAACTTTTTTTTAAAAAAAACTAACAATTGAATTTTTAAAAAAAAAAAAAAAAAAAAAAAAAAAACACAAACACAAACACAAACAAATTAATAAAATAAGAATTTCGATTCTTAAATCATTGATTTTTGTTGATATTTTCAAATGAATTTTTTGTTCTAAATTTTGTAAAAATTAATTTCTTATAGACTTCTTATAAAAGCATTCCAATAAAAATAAATAAAAAGGAAAAAAAAAAAGTGATGGAAAGAATCATGTATGAGGTGGAATTTTAAGATAATAAGGTTATGAAAAGAATCGTGCTTGAGTTGGAAGGATTTTAAGATAGTCACATCATGGAAAGAACCGTGTTTGAGTTGAAATTTAAGATAGCCACATTAAATTTTTATTAAGATTCTATAGTCGTCAATTAAATCACTTTCTTTTAAATTATATATAAACTATCTTTTGTTAAATGTTAATTAAAGAAAGAAAGAAAATTTTTTCTTAGGGGGGCCAAGTATAGATTTTATACCAAAGATGCTATACAATTTTATTTTTACTTATACTAAAAAAAAATTTCAAAAAATTAGGGGGGCCATGGCCTCCGCCAGCCCCCCTTCCTTCCGCCCTGTATCCACATTGTTTTCTATTGAAGCAACATGGATGTAAACCGGATGAAAATCCTCTCATGCGAAACTTTAGTCCTATTCCATTAAGTTAGTGATGTACGTTACCAAAATGTCATGACGTGGAGCTAAACATCACAATATTTTTGTAAGTTATATCACTAATTGGACGGATTAGGATACTGTTTCGTAAGAAATCAATGATTTTAATCTCATAAAATTAGGATTAGTGGGGAATTTTTTAAAAAAATTAGCAAAGAATTTATGCCAATTGTTAACCCAAATTATTATTATTATTATTATTTTAATTTTTCAGCAACTTAGAAACATATAAAAAAAACAGAAGATCCAATTGTTAACTTCATGTAACTCTCGTATGCAAAATATAGCTTTAGACATAAAATATGAAAAAGTAGGGTAATGGGTATAATGATGTGCAACATCAAGGGAATCAACAGCCCTTTGAAGGGTGTGGACTGTAGAGATTTTAGTGTTACTTTATGCCACAAGATAATATTGAAACAAACATGTGGGTCCTTGTACACATCCTCCAATTCCCAACTTCTCAACCTGCATACACAAAATAATTGTAATCATCATCAGTAATGAAAACTTTATAAATTAATAGAATGCACACCCTCAAGAGTCCTAAATGATTAGTCTAACATGGGAGACTCTTGTTATCACAGAGTTTAGTTGCTTGAAGATATACGGGACTCCTGTTACTACATAATTCGACTGTTTGAGGAGAATATGATATGCACAGTCACACATATTATGCAACAATCGAATGAAAAAAAGTGGAGTACTTCACCAAGTGCTTTCCGGCAGAATGAGAGAAGAACGATCACCACTGCTACCCCAGCCAGTATGCCTACAATCATGGCTACAGTTTTTCCGGCTTGATCATCGTCGGAAGAATCTATGCAAACACCAAAAGAAAAAGGAATGTGAATTAGTGCTATGCATAAAGATAGACAAGGGACTAAGCTAGGCTAGCTTGATCTGTCACAATTTCATTTCAACTGTTTCCATAGAGCTTTCTCTCACATCCTTTTAATTAATGGGATAATTCCATAAAAAATGGGGTTTTGGAGGATCAAAGGACAAAAGAATGAAATTAAAATCAAGTTTTTCAAATTAATGTTATTTTATGTAAGTCAAATGTGGACATGAAAAATTATTATACATTATCTTTTTATTTCCAAAATAACCTTCTATTATTGTTATGAAATTATGCTACTAACCCTCTCAAATCTAAAGAGAGAAGAGAAACACATCTATGCCAATTCTCTCAAACTCTCCTTCTCCAGCCGCTCCTCTTTTCTCAAACTCTCGAATCACACCGTCAAAATCACTGTAAAAAGAATGAAGTCAAAATCCATTTTTCAGTTCATTTTCTTTATAAATCATTAGTTCTCAATGTAATTTCCTTTCTAACTTTGATTTCTTCCTCTATTTTACTTATTTATTTTAATATAATTTATTTAATTAAAATAATGAAGTTTCACAATTATTAAAATAAATTTACTAAACAAATAAAGTTACCATTTAAACCGACACTAATAAATATTACAGTCTTTGATTCTCTCTATTCTCTCTCACTACCACTGCCAAATTCAAGATCTTCACAGTATATAGATATATAAAAATAAGTAAGTAAAATAGAGGAGGAAATCAAAGTTTGAAAGGAAATTATATTGAGAATGGATGATTTATAAAGAAAATGAATAGAAAAGTGAATTTTGACTTCATTCTTCTTACAGTGATTTTGACAATGTGTTTTGAGAGTTTGAGGGAAGAGGAGGCTGCCAAATAAGGAGAGGGGTAGTAGCATAATTTCATGACAATAATAGAAATGTATTTTGGGAATAAAAAAGATGATATATGTCAGACTTTTATAAAATTTCATTAATTTGGAAAACTGAATTTTGACTATATGCTTTTGTCTTTTGACCCCCAAAACTCCATTTTTATGAAATTATCCATTAATTAATTACATCATTTTACTTACATTCATTACGTAAAATGGGAGATTTCAGATAATTAATCAACCAAAAAAAATTCAAAAATTAAATCCTTTAACAATACTTTAAGGGCTGTTTGGGTGATGAGAAAGCAGAGTAAAATTTTTAAATTTTGTAACTATATGTTGTCGGAATGATTAGGGTGTGACGACTGTGGTTTTCTTTTTCTTTTCGTACATCTTCTCGGCCATTCCTTTTAGCTTTAAGCCAAATCATGCCACTTATAATTGAAATCATTAAAAATAAAAGAAGAGAAGAGAGGAAAAACAGAATGACAAAACAATGATGTGCATTCCCAAAAGAAAATAATAAAGCTTCAATGCCATAATGCTTTACATTATAAAGAGATTATTTGTTGACTCATGCCTTGGAATTATTTTAAAGCGTGCTCTCTCTCTCTCTCTCTCTCTCTCTCTCTCTCAACCCTAAAGTGGTCAAAATGTTTTAAACTGAATGAGCTCCACTGCCTATAATTATAATTGAAGCATATTAAATTTTTTTTTTTAAGGGTGGATTTGAACTTGCTTGTAATTGATATTAATCGATCAATATTCTACCTATATATATGTCTTGCATTAAACATCTAAAAGAGAAAAATAACCAAGTGAACAAAGAATAGCTTTAAAAAGATGAAAAGAAAAAGGAAAGATGAAGAGAGGGGAATGACAAAACACTAGAATGTGACGAAAACAAGGTAATAAAGCTTCAATGACCATAACAATGCTTTGCTTTATAAAGGGACTATGAGCTTGACACTAGCCTTAATTCGAAAAAAAATATATTAAGTGGGCTCTTTCTGTCTCATCACTCTCATCTAACCTAAGTTCCAAATACCAAGTCCTACCAAGTTATCACGAATGTGGTAATCTCTAATCATATTACATTATTTCAGTAAATTCTCATTATTTTTTTAGTTAAGAGTAAGAAATGGATTGCTGACATCAAAAGTAAAAGACAATTCATTTAAAGGTAACTATATTTTGTCAGATTTCTTAAACCTATTTGTTTAGTTGTTTGGTTTTTTTTTTTTTAATTTTTTTTATTTTTTTAGTATTTGTATGTGGATGAAACTCATATGCATTACATTCTCGAATAGATAAAAATTCCTACGCATTTGGGTATGACAAATAAGTCTAAACAGCATTATTCGTCAGATAGTGATTACAATATAGTCTAGTTTGCATTGTTGGGCCATTGTTTGGGCCTTTGTTCTCTTCCATTGGGGCTGTACAGTTCTTCTTTCCATATTTTTATAAATTGAAATTTACCTTTCAATATATATATATGTACACCTCCAATGACCTAATTGTTTAGTGGTCTGTGCAATCCTATTTATTTATTTTTTGAAAAAGAAAAAAAGAAAGTAACTATCCTATTGTTGAATGAATTATGAAGAAAGTGAGATATAGGGAGTATACGAAATATGTACCTGAAGAATCATAGTAACCAGAAGCCCAGTACCTAGCATAACACTGTGCCAAGAACACATCAGCTGCCTGAGCAGACCCACACAAGCTCTTCAACTTCACAACAGCATCCGCAAGGCAAGAAGAGCAATCCGCAGCACTCAAATCACCCAAACACTGCGCAAAACCCTCCACCAAACCCGAACTACTCACCCGAAACCCTACCGCGGCTTGCAAATCAGCGAGAACATCGTCTCTCCGTTTGAAGAACTCAACGTCGTTGCTCACACTCTTGCTACACTTCTTGTACTTAACACTCGTGTCCAACTTCCCCAAAAAGTCTATGTGCTCGAATCTTATCACACACCCATCTAGTTGCAAACTAGCCCCATAAGCGTACGGACACACCAAACTCACTTGCCCCACCGCGCTTTCGATGCATAGCGAGCAATCGCTCGTCTTCAAATCACCTCTGCATTGGTAGAGTCCATATACGGATGCTTCCACCGAGCTATCGTTTCCGATTGCGAAGCCGTAGTAAGTGGCCTGATGGGAGGAACTGGCCGCAGATGTTAGTAAAGAGTTGAGGTTGGCCTCGAACTGCGAGTTGGGTTGGTACTTCTCTTGAGAACAGCCAGCATAGATGAAGATGTGAGCTTTGACATGGCTGGTGGTGAGGAGAGAGAAGAGAGAGAAGAGGAAGAGGAGAGGAGAGGGATTGATTAGAGGTAGGAGGGTTTTGGTCATCTGAGTAGAGTATGGTTGAAGGGTGGTTCTTGACATTTTTATTGATTGGTCCTTCATTTTTGTTCCATCCTTTGATTTGTTCTGTTTTTGATGTTTGTTTTGGTGATGTGAAAGTGACCGAGTAAGAGAGAATGTGTGTGTTGCCTTTTGGTTCTTTGTTGACTGCGTTGTGGAATTATTGCTTTTTAGAAAGGACCCATTTGGTCTTTCTTGACTTGGGCCTACTTGTGTATGCAAATTGTAGGTATATAGCATCAACGTTTTTCGGAAAATATATAGCATGAACTTGTATATATGCAATTCTGTTCATGTTGTAAGCAATCTATGTCCTAGTTTCATAAATAAATAAATAAATACTTAATTGTAAATTGGATAAATAATTTACTTTCTAGAACATCAACTAGTCACGGAATAAAAAAAATCGTTGACAACACAATCGCATTGCAGAGTGATTAATATACCGTTATGTACAGATCAGAATATATTCTAATTTGCATTAATTTTGCATGTGTATCTCATCCGAAAAGAATATCACTTGTTTTAACTTTTACCGTATTAATTTGTACACTGGCCTTGCACAAATAATGTCAAACCTATGACCTATGAAAGAACCAGATTCCTGGTGTGGTGGGAATGGTTATTATTATTTATTTTTATTTTTATTTCTAGTTAAATTTGCTGACAATATTACACTGAGGTAGATACTGAAGCAAAGCCACCATTCATAATTTGTATATGAAAAAGTAAGGCGATAGGTATGATGATGTGCAACAGCCCTTTGAAGGGGTATGTACAATAGAGATTTTGGTGTTACTTTATGCCACAAGATGATATTGGAACAAACGTGTGGGTCCTTGTACAATGATCGATCATCCTCCTATTCATTAGAAAATAAATCATCACCATCCCAACTTCTTAACCTGCATACGCAAAATAATTGTAATCATCATCAATAATGAAAACTTTATAAATTCATAGATTGCACACCTGAGTACGTCCTAAATGATTAGTCTAACATACTACGTACGATACTCTTGTTATCACATAGTTTAGTTGTTTGAAGGCATATGAGACTCCTGTAGTCCTATTGCTACAAAATTCAACTGTTTTGAGGAGAATATGATATACAGTCACACATATTATGCAACAATCGAATGAGAAAAATTGGACTTCACCAAGTGCTTTCCGGCAGAATGAGAGAAGAACGATCACCACTGCGACACCAGCCAGTATGCCTACAGTCATGGCTACTGTTTTTCCGGCTTGATCATCGTCGAAAGAATCTATGCAAACACCAAAAGCATAAGGAATGTGAATTAGTGCTATGCATAAAGATAGACAAGGGACTAAGCTAGGCTGTCACTATTTCATTTCAACTGTTTCCATAAAGCTTTCTCTCGCATCCTTTTAAAACACTGTATTTTAGGGCCTATTTGGATTGGCTTTTCAAACACTGGTTAAAGCTATTTGGAGCTGTGTTTGACAAATTTTTTAGAAGTGTTTTGAGTCATTGGAAGAGCGTTTTGGAGAAGGGACCTTGAGTTTCTCCAAAACGCTCTTCTTAAAAATACACATGAAGCCGTTTAGGATTTAATGAAAATTTTAATATACCAAACATACCCTTTTGTTTAGGCAGTGAAAAATGAAAAAATAAAATTACAACACATACTTTACATTCATTGTGTAAAAGGGGAGGTTTCAGATAATTAATCAACCAAAAAAATTCAAAAATCAAATCATTTAACAATGCTTTAATGTTTGGGTGACAAGAAAACGGAGTAAAAATTTTAAATTTGTAACTATATGTTGTCGGAATGATTACGGTGTGACTCATACATCTTCTTAGCCGTTCCTTTTAGCTTTAAGCCAAATCATGCCGTTTATAATTGAAAACATTAGAAATAAAAGAAGAGAAGAGAGGAAAAACAGAATGACAAAACAATGAAGTGTGTGGATATAGTTTAAAAGTCAAATCAAGTTGGCACTGAACAAGAATAGCAAAAAGACAAAGTGACGAACACTTGGTCGATATTGGAAATCCAACTCGGCAAAAGAAACTGTCGATCGATGGCCTCGAACTTCAATCCGACCAAGCCATAATCTGTCAAATTGACGAGCCTTGAACCTCGATCCGACCTAACCACAAACTGTCAATCGACAGGCCTTGAATCTCGATCCGACCAAATTACACACTGTAGATCAATGGGCCTTGAATTTCGATCCAATAAAGCCACAAACTGTCATTCGATGGGCTTTGAACCTCGATCCGACCAAACCAAAAATTGTCGATCGAGGGGCCAGCTTGAATCTCGATCCGACCAAGCCACACACGGTTGATCGATGGGCCCATGAACCTCGATCCAACCTAGTCACAAACTGTTGATCGACGGGCCTTGAACCTCAATCCGACGAAGCCACAAACTATCGATCAACGGCTTTGAACCTTGATCCAGCCCAGCCACAAACGGTTGATCGACAAGCCTTGAATCTCAATCTGACCAAACCACATTCTCCCAAACAAAAGGAGCAACGAAAGAGTATTGGTAGGACTCTTAGAGGCCATTGGGAATGCATAAAGGACTTTGGAATGGAAGATGGAAAATTAGCAAAGTCTTGCTAAGACAGGACTGTAATTTGAGGATAAGAGCGAAAGACAAGCTGGAGTAAGCACAGAGACCTTTACAGTTACCGTCCATTTAGGTCATTCAAGGAGATACGTACACTTGGCAGCAGAACCAAAAGAATAGGATTTAAGGCATCATGATCTATAAAAGAACATGGGCCCTGACTCATCTTATCCGGATGCCCAACATATGCCATCTGAATGACGTAGGACTATAAAGAGGTGGCAAAGGCAAAAAAGAAAGAGCATAAGGAATTTGGGCTTTAACAGTACTCCAAACTTCGCCTTTGATCTCTATCACCGTTTCAGTCCTTAGATTGGGTTGGTTCTCTCTCCCTCAATCCACTCTTTTGTATTCCTCATATTGTCTTAGTGGTATTTCCCAGATATTTTCATCTCTCAGTTTGACTCAAAAATAGGTACATACATTTGGTGACTCCGCTAGGGAAATCCTAGCAAGAAGATGAATCCAGATGAAGTCCACCTTCCGTCGGCATAAGTAGAGGTATCTGCCGTTGGGGCTACCAGAGCCAGAGCTACCAGCGCTTATATGGTGGGTCCATTTTTTAGGGGGGCGGCCTTTTAATTTGTGGGGGCAAACTTATATGGTGGGTCCATTTTTGTAATTTAATGTGGTTTTCTTCATAAATTTTCAAAAAATTAAAGTATAAAATGCAAAAAAAAAAAAAAAAAAAAAAAAAAAAAAAGTGGGGGCAAATTATAATTTTAGAAAGGGCATCTTCATAAATTCTTAAACATTTGAAGTATAAAATGTAAAAAAATAAATAAAAAATTCAATGGGGGCGAATTGTAATTTTAGTGGGGGCATTTTCATAAATTCTAAAAAAATTGAGATATAAAAAGAAAATATAAAAAATCGCATGGGGGTTAGTCCTATGTTAGATCCGCGCCTGCATTACGTTATTTCAATAAATTCTTATTATTTATCGAGTTCTGAGTGAGAAATGGATTGCTGACATCAAAAGTAAATGACAATTCATTTAAAGGTAACTATATTTTGTCCGATTTCTTAGATGGATTTGTTTAATTAGTTGTTGGTTTTTTTTTTTAAATTGTATGTGGATGAAACTCATATGCATTACATTTTCAATTAATGGATAAAAATTCCTTCTGGTACATATTTGGATTTGACAAATAGATCTAAATAGCATTGTTTTTTTTTTTGGTTAAATCTAAATGGCATCGTTGGTCAGATAGTGATTACAATATATGCCTCCAATGACCTAATTGTTTAGTGGTGTGTGCAATCCTTCTTTTTTTTTTTTTTTTTTTTTTGGGAAAAAGCAACAAAGAATGTAACTATCCTATTGTTGAATGAATTATGAAGAAAGTGAGACAGATATAGGGAGTATATGAAATATGTACCTGAAGAATCATAGTAACCAGAAGCCCAGTACCTAGCATAACACTGCTCCAAGAACACATCAGCTGCCTCAGCAGACCCACACAAGCTCTTCAACTCGACAACAGCATCCGCAAGGCAAGAAGAGCAATCCGCAGCACTCAAATCACCCAAACACTGCGCAAAACCCTCCACCAAACCCGAACTACTCACTCGAAACCCTACCGCGGCTTGCAAATCAGCGAGAACATCGTCTCTCCGTTTGAAGAACTCAACGTCGTTGCTCACACTCTTGCTACACTTCTTGTGCCTAACACTCGTGTCCAACTTCCCCAAAAAGTCTATGTGCTCGTATCTTATCACACACCCATCTAGTTGCAAACTAGCCCCATAAGCGTCCGGACACACCAAACTCACTTGGCCCACCGCGCTTTCGATGCATAGCGAGCAATCACTTGTCTTCAAATCACCTCTGCATTGGTAGAGTCCATATATGGATGCTTCCACCGAGCTATCGTTTCCGATTGTGAAGCCGTTGTAAGTGGCCTGATGGGAGGAACTGGTCGCAGATGTTAGTAAGGAGTTGAGGTTGGCCTCGAATTGCGAGTTGGGTTGGTACTTCTCTTGTGAACAGCGAGCATAGATGAAGATGTGAGCTTTGACATGGCTGGTGGTGAGGAGAGAGAAGAGAGAGAATAGGAAGAGGATAGGAGAGCGTTTGATCAGAGGTAGGAGGGTTTTGGTCATGTGGGTCGAGTGTGGTTGAAGGGTGGTTCTTGTTTGGTCCTTCATTTTTGTTCTATCATTTGATTTGTTCTGTTTTTGATTCTTTGTTTTGGTGATGTGAAAGTGACCCGAGTAAGAGAGAATGTGTGTGTTGCCTTTGGTTCTTTGCTCAACTGCGTTGTGGAATTATTGGCTTATTGCTTTTAAGAAAGGACCCATTTGGTCTTTCTTGGGACTTGGGCCTACTTGTGTATGCAAATTGTAGGTATATCATCAACTTGTTTGTGCAATTGGGTTCATGTTGTAAGCAATCTATGTCCTAGTTTCATAAACAAAAAAAAATACTTAATTGTAAATTGGATAAATAATTTACTTTCTAAACCATCAACTAGTCACGGAATAAAAAAAATCGTTTGACAAAACAATAGCATTGCAGAGTGATTTAGCGTTATATATAGATCAGAATATATTCTAATTTGCATTTTGCATGTGTCTCTCATCCAAAAAGAATATCAATTGTTTTACCATATTAATTTGTACACTGACCTTGCACAAATAATGTCACACCTATGACCTATGAAAGAACCAGATTCCTGGTGCGAGTGGTTATAATTATTATTTTTTTTATTTTAGTTAAATTTGCTGACAATATTACAATGAGGTACACAGGTAGATACTGAAGCAAAGCCACCATTCATAATTTGTATTAGATAAAAATTTGAAAATATTGAATTAATGTTAGTTTATTAAGCCAAACTTTGAATTATGAATAACCTGTCACCTGAACATCAACTTAAAAATAATTTTAATCAAACTTAAAATCTTTCATACTGTTAGCACGGTACTAAAATGCTTGATAGTCTAGTTGGGTTGGGCTATATCTTTCGGCCCCTCCAATTTAGTTTCTCTGTTTGAGCTCTGCTTGTTGGCCTGCTTGGCCTTGGGCCCTACTTGTTATTTTCCTTTATATCGATGACCCTTCAAACAACTCGGGCCACTGCAACCTATGGGGCGGTGTTTGCTTAATGGCCCAAGGTTTAAAAATCGAACCCATCATATAGCAATTATATTTAATTGTCACGATATAAGTGGAGTGGAAAAAGTGTTTGGTCCGTTTGTAAAAGATCATTTATATATTATATATATGATACATATATATATTTTGTGTGGGGTATAATTTTTCTTATAAAAAATTATAAATTTATATGTAGATTTGATGACACGAGTACCGTACCCTATTCTATATGATGGGTTCGAACAATATTTTATATGTAGATTTGTTCATCTCTTTTGGGATATAAATTTTTTCATAAAAATACGCACTCCGATTTGTTCATCCATTAGATGAACAATATTTGATGACACACGAACCACTTGAACACCCTGATGTGGCACAGGCTTGGGAGATCAAGTAAATGTGGGGACTACCACACCAAAATCTCTTCATCAAGAGAGGACCAGTATAGATTCTCCACTAAACTTAACAATATTGATGACAGGGAAATGTATGGTAATGAACAGCTTGACGACAAATATAAATAAAAGGAAGAAAACCAATAAATAAATAAATTAAAATCACAAAATATAAAAGGTAAGGACTACCAAGAAAATGAATTTCTAATTATATGATTATTAATATTTTTTTTAAATGGAATTAAGGAATGAAAATGACTCAAAACAAAAATCTTTTCTTCAATTCATTGTGTGAAAAAGAAATTTTATAAAGATTACAGAATATAAAAACAATAGTGCAATACCAAACAGAAAAGCACTAGCACTAAACTACATTTCGCTTTATGCCATTTCAAAGTGACTCAACCTAATATCTGCGAGTTTGAATTAATTACTCAAAAAAATCACTAATAAATAATAGATTCTATCTAATTAATAAAATCATAATTAACTTCACTTCAAATAACATCTAGGAATAAATTTCAAATCAAATACATCCGAACATATAAATTAGTCTTTAATCCAATCCGTATATGAGAGATATATTCATGTGAACTTTGAACAGAATCAAAATCTGGAAAGAGAAGTTTTGCAATGCCATCAAACGCTTTGTGTTGGTGTTATTTGAATGGACCGACACGAAGCACACGTGGGTTCCACACAAATCCATCCAAACGGCACCAATACCTCCGCACCAGAGGAAATCCTCTTTGGCTTTCCCTGATATCATCTTTTATCATTTCTAACTCTGTCTGGCATGGTATAAAATATGAATTTTCAGTTTAATTAAAATGAAAGCAGCTAAATAGTAAATACAAAATATGAATTACATAACTCAAAAATTTATTAATCCGCGCATGAAATTAACACCCAAAAAAGAAGACAAAACTGACTAAGCCCTATCTAATTATGTGATTTTAAACATCATTATCATCATTAATCGTGATTACTATCGTCATCATAAACATTTAACCATCAATTTCAATTTGGTGGGCATTCTTCCACGTCAGCAACTTCCGGCTACCGTGACCCGCGGCGATCCGGGTCTGAACGCTCTCGAAATCCGACATCCGACAAGGGATGGTGATCCCTCCCGGGTGGTTAAACCCGTACTCCTCCTCAGCCTCCCTCAACAATTCCCCAAACAAAGGGTGGTTGAAGTACATCACCGGCACCAAAACCCTGTGAAATTCGCCTCCTTTCTGACCCACATACACAGCCATCTGACCCTTGGGCACCGCCACCGCCTTCTCTTGAGCCAGGACTTCACCCCTAAGGGTATAACCCGGACGAGTGATCCGACCCGGTATCATGGAACAGAGTGACTTCGCTTTGTTTTTGACGCAGCTAAAGAGTCCGGATATGAGTTTAGGCTTGCGAGTTGGAAGTGGGTCCAGCCGGCGGTATCCCGCCGATGGCGGGTTTCGCCGGAGAAACTTGAAGACCCGTTTCTTGAGATTGAAGCCCAGGATTTTTCTCGACATGGGTTTGGGTTGATGAGAGAGAAACAGAGAAGAAGAGAGAGAAAATAAAGATGGTTGTTTTAGAGGGTGGAGGGTTTAATCGGAAAAAGGCCAAGGGTCATCGATGGACATGGCTAGACGAAAGAGAGCGAGACAGACGTACTTCAGAGAGAGAAGAGGGTATATTTAACATGTTCACTGCTAGTATTACAAAATGAGAATTTCATTCTAAACTTTATCTTTCTTCAAACATTGAGAGGTTTATCTTGTGGTGGTGGTGGTTATGCGGGTTGTGAAACAGAGTGGGAAGGTGTAGTTATACTTGAAAGAAAGAGAGTACGTAGCAGGGTCAAGAACAAGAGGAAGGTGGAGCGAAGGAGGCAAGCTATCGGTTGGGTCAGGACGCTACTGAATACAAAGAATAAAATATTGCCGTACATAGTGTGTGTTTTACATAGGAGTAATAATAATTGTGGTACTCCTTTGTCTCAAATTGTACAGGTACTAAATGAATTACCAAATATGATAAAGTGGGTTCGATAATTTATTTTTTATAAATTTAATGTATGAAGTTAAATTAATAATATTATTAAAATTATAATTTAACATTTTAAATGAAACATTTATTTTAAGACAATCAAAAATAGAAAATTAGATATTTAATTTAAGACGAAGAAAATATAATTTTTTTATTTTTTCTGTTTCCAAGGATTGTTAATAGGGTTTTGAAAGTTTGACGCATCCTAATGTATTAATGTCATTTCCCTTTCATAATAGGAACACATGTTTATATTTTATTATAAATGAATCAAATGATACTTCCCTCTCCATCCTATATTAATTGTTATATTATAACACAAAGGCAAGTGTAATTAATGTATTGTATTCTTTTAAATTTATTAAATTATTCTTTTTAATTTAAATATATGTATTACTAAGTTGAGAGATTTTTAAAATTTTAAAAGGTAATTATGAAAAAAAATGACAATTTTTTTTCTTAACCTTTGTAAGATGGGAAACTAATTTTGAGACCACCATAAAACTATTAGGGGACCGAGGGTAAGGATGGTAAAAATTCCCCTACCTCGTTTAAAACAGTTATGGGATGGTTAAATATTTGTAGAGCAAGAATGGATGTAAGGATTGAAAACTTACTATTAGATTCATAATACAATTGCAAAATTACTCTGTACGTTATTACCCTATGGCTAGGGAAAAAAAAACTTGTCCCCGCCCTGCCTCATCCTGCTACTACCTTGTTTAATAAATAATTTTGTACATGGATGAGAGTAGCTATGCTAAACAGAAGTGGTTATGGGATTAACATTCCCCGTCCCAACCCCGCCTCGTTATCATCATTGGCGGATGGAATATTTTACCAAAATAATAATAATAAGATCTATTTAACAACAAAAAACAAAACAACACCAGTATATTAAAGGAAGAGGATAAATCCTTGTTAAGGACATTCAAGAGCCGTGTTGTCACCTTATTAAAAAGGGTTAAGTGCAAAAAAAAAACCTCACTATATAAAAAATATGTAAAAAACATTCCTATTAGAAAAAAAGTATATATAACTCCATGTATTATTCGTCTTTTGAGCAAATTGTCTCTATTGAATAATTCTGATGATTCGCCTTTTACCCATTAGTACTCCGTCAGTACTAACTTTGAGCTCCACTTTACACCTAATTCAAGATGGAATTAGGCTTCGAACGCCATCATCTTTTTCTGTCTAGCTTGAGTTGAACTTCCTTGTGTTTTACTGTGATAGGGTCGCCGCGTGCCGGCCGGGGAACTACACAAAGAGACGAATAGAATACCGAAACTTTAACTTAACAAAAACTCCAAAGTTTATGAAAAAAAAAAAAAAACAACAACAACAACAGACGTGCCAAATGTAATACCCCTAAATTCAAAAGGATAATTCTGATATTTTTATTAATTGTTTTATTGCATTTTTAAATTGTTTAAGTGTGTATTTTCATTAATTGGTGTATTATTTAATTTTATCTGAATTTATTTGAACTACTTGATATTGTTTAATTTAATTGTTATTAGTTGATTTTATTTGAATTAAATGTTTTATTTTTAGTTTTAATTTAATTGTTTTAATTATTTATTTATTTATTTATGTTAATTGGTTTAATGTGTTTTAAATGCATTAATTGTAACTTAGGGTTTTAGGTTTTATCATAGCCGACATTGTTATAACCTAGGATTACCTATGGGCCGAGTGATATCTGTATGGACTTAGGGTTTCTGTAGAGTCTATATATATATTGTTTATACGTTGATTTAGGGTTACAAATAAAAAAATCATATTCACCATAATCACGTATACAGTGTGATAGAGAGAAAACAGAGAGAAAGATTGAGAGGAAATACATAGTGAACTTGAGTGATTCAAGGAGGAGTTCGGGACTGAATTAGGAGCAGCAGAGGCTGTTTGATACAACCAAGGTATCCAAAGAAGATAGAGACAACTGTTGGGGGTTTTTTAAACCAAAGTCTCAAGGCAAGTTCTGTTTTATTCTATCCCTTTAGTCTGTGTTCTGTGCATGCTTAGGAAGACTCCAGGGATTAAACTAAGGCTTAATTATATCTATTATGCATGTTTAATCAGTAATTAAATTGATGGTATTAATCTGTTCTTGGTTGCTTTAAGAAAATTAACTTGTAACCTTGCTACCGCTGTGAATCAACTTGTGTTTCAATTTAAGTTTTGATTGTATATCATTGTTTGTTGACTAATCTGGGACTGAATTGGAACTCCAGAGCAAGTGTTTAAAACAGAATTTAATTGCACCAAATTTATCTGAATTAAATCTGTTGCAACTTGCTTAGGATTTGCTAACAGAGGTTCTGTAAACGGGGCTTTAAAACTTGTGTTCCTACACATGTTAGGATTAGAATTCAGTGGTTTAAACTTATTTAGTACTAAGATTGAACCTAGAATAAGAATTAGAACACACCACAGAGGCTCTGTAATCACCGGAGTTGAAGAAGATGAAACTAGAACGGACGTAGACTGCAACGAAGAAGGAGCAGGCTCTAAAATCACCTTAGAGCCGGCTCAAAGAGGATGGAGCCGGCTCTATTAGGAAGATGGAGCCGGCTCAATGCGGAAGGAGCCGACTCTAACCTACATTTAGAGCAGGCTCAATGTTTTAATTGAGCCTGCTCTTTCTTGAATTGCCCAAAAACGAGTTTTAGGGGCTGTTTGGCTGTACAGTGCTTTCTAAGGCTGTTTAAATGATACTGTGAGATGTAATTAAATGTTAGGGACTTAAATAAATGTTGAAAATATTTAATACAATAATGGTTTAAGGGAAGGAGCAATGAACAGTTCAAATAATGGCTATACGTTGCACTGTTTTTGCTAGGTTTATATAACTGGAACTTGGCAAAGTTTTGTATATAATTCAATTATATATAACTCTATATTTTTACTGTGTTATAAGTATGGTAAATTAATTATATTTATCTATACATAGTTGGATTTAAATTAATATTTAATTTGTTTAATTTGTATCAATTTATTGGCCGTTTTGGAGGATTTAAATGCTATGTCTTATTCTAACTATTTAAACTGTTGGAGTATGATATTTATGTTCTGTAGTGAATACCTAATATTGATATACGTATGAATTTATACCAATGCATATACTGGAGGATGGTTGTTGATTATATAGTGTTGTTTTAATAGCTATGTTATATGGAGAATTTGTATGTACCGGTATGGGACGGTGACATACTAGGTATGGATTAGTCAAACACTAAATCCTACCTAATTTGGATTGAGGTATGGATTAACCCTATGAGTTAAATCCATCACCTACTTGTGTCATATCAATCAAATAATTGAATGACTTAATATGGTCAGGATGGATTTGCTTTACATTTATCAAACCACTTTTCAGATGGTTGATATTTTGTAAAAAGAGGACACGGACTTTATATATTTATTATATGTGGCATGGTATGAGCTTGAGTCTCAGGACCATGGTTAAGGTGCGTATATTGCCTAGGAAGGATAGCTGGACAGAGGTGTTGTTCCCTGGTAGGTCTAGATACACATGACCACAGTATGTGCGATTTGCATGGTATCTTTATTCAGGCTGAGACAGACCTTTTTGGACTAGTGAGCGTCCTATAGTGTGTACTTATACATATATGGACTACTCTAAATATTGTTGAGTCTTTCTAGTATGTATCTGCGTATCGGATTCCTGTTTGGATTGTAGTAGATCAGGACTTGCATGTGGGCCTGACCCACCCTTATATTTTTCATGTACTCGTCAGTTCCAGGGTTAGAGTTTGTTCGTGCAGAGTAGATACAGACTACTATTCTACCGACAACGTAGGACTTCTTTCCAGATATTAGATATGGATTTTATCTTCAGTTTTACTTCCATGCATTTTGGGCTTTTATTTGGGGTCCACTAGAGATGGATTCTCGAGTTGTAAACTTATGGAGTTTGGATTGTCAAGATTTAAATATTTATATTTGAGGATTTATTTTAGTTTCTTTCCGCTCATTATATTATTTCTTTAATCACTTTGTATTCCGTGTTCGTTTTTAAAATATTAATTGTTTGATATCTCTCGGATTTGGGTCTGGGCCTGATCAACCCGTGTCTCGGATCCGAGGGGTATCACACCAAACCTACACCATTCTTCATTAAAGACCATCACTCATCGTTCAAAATCAATCCCTGCTAGCCCTTGGTCAAAACCGTTGATAGTCTTCCTCCACTACAAATACTTGAAGAGTACTCTTGACAACTCAGTTCAAAATCAAGCTCTAACGACCCTTTGAATCCGACCAACAAAGGAGATTCAATCAGACGGAGATTCTGATTGTAATAGAATCGCCTACAGAGAATAGTACATATTTTTCCTGATTATTAATAAAATTTATTATTTGCTCCATATTTCGTTATTTAATTTGCAGATATGGAATTTGTGTGTACAAAATTTTTATGTCATTTTTTTCTTGAAAATCCAAAAGTACCATTTTTGTATATATTTGAATAGTGAATGGATTTGTTTGATAAGAATAAACAACGCCAGAAAAGTTGGTGTTCTCTATTTTCATAGAGAAACAAAGAAAAATATTTTCATATATATAACTCACGTTACAATTGTATTGTCATATATAAGGAGAGCAAAAGAATAGCCAAAGAAAGAGGAATCAAAATTGATATATAAGGAAAACCAAAAGATAGGAAACTAATTAGATATATAAGGAAAGTTGACCACCACGTATAGCTGTTAACACTCCCCCTCAAGGTGGAGCGTGTAAGTGAATAACGCCCAGCTTGGAAATCAAGGAATGGAAAGGGTCCTGGCCGAGAGGCTTAGTAAAAATATCAGCTAGTTGAGCAAAAGAAGGAACAAAACGCGGTGCAATCAAATGGGACTGAATTTTCTCACGAACAAAATGGCAATCAATTTCAATATGCTTCGTGCGCTCATGAAACACCGGATTGTTGGCAATATGTAAGGCTGCTTGATTGTCACAATACATTGTAATAGGAGAGGGATGCGAGAGACCAAGGTCTGAAAATAAAGTCTTCAACCATTGTAACTCCGAAGTTAAATTGGCCATGGCCCTACACTCAGCTGCAACGGAAGAACGGGAGATAGTACTTTGCTTCTTAGTTTTCCAAGAAAGAATATTAGAGCCAAGAAATGTGCAATAACCTGTGGTCGAGCGACGAGTCACTGGACAACCAGCCCAATGTGAATCATAATAACCTTGCAAGTCTAAAGAACTTGAAAAAGATAAAAAAAATTCCTTTACCAACTGAACTTTTCAGGTAACGAACCAATCGATGTGCAGCATCCATATGAGCACTATGAGGCGAGTGCATAAATTGGCTCAGAACATGAACTGCATAATTGATGTCAGGCCGTGTGGCAGTTAATTAAATGAGGCGACCCACAAGACGCCTGTAGGGAGTAGGATCAGGCAATAAGGTGTTATCAGTAGGCGATAAACGCAAATGTTGCTCCATAGGAAAAGAGGAAACCCGGCCTCCAATTAAACCAGTATCCTTAAGGATGTCAAGAATGTATTTTCTTTGACAGAGAAAAATACCCTTCTTGGATCTAGCCACTTCAATGCCAAGGTAATATTTCAACTTGCCAAGATCTTTAATGAAAAATCGATGTTGTAAAAAAATTTTGACACGCTAAATGGTTGACTCATCATTTCCTGAATTAATGGTGTCATCAACATACACTAATACAAAGGTCAAAGAACCACCTCTTGTATGAGTAAATAAAGAGTAGTCTGCCCGGGATTGATTGAAACCTGCATATAACAAGGCTGAGGAAAATTTTGCAAACCATCTTGAGGCCTGTTTTAAACCATAAATTGATTTGTTTAGGCGACAGACTCTTGTCTCCCCCTTTCGAGCAAAACCGGGTGGAAGTGCCATATAGACTTCTTTATCTAAATTGCCTTGCAAAAAGGCATTATGGGCGTCCAATTGATAGAGTGACCACCCTTTAATAGCAGCAAGTGAGAGAAGAGCACGTATTGTGACATGCTTAGCTACAGGAGCAAAGGTGTCATGATAATCCAAGCCTTCAACTTGGGTAAAACCCTTAGCCATCAAGCTGGCCTTGTAGCGTTCAATGGTACCATATGGTACCATCGGAGCGATATTTAATCTTGTAAACCCATTTACAACCAATGGGTTGTTTATGGGATAGAAGGGGAACAAGGTTCCATGTGTTTTCATTTTCCATAGCTGCTCTCCATTGCGAAATTTTAAAAGCTTGAGAAAAGTTTCGGGGCTCATCTGTAGACAAAATCATAGAAAGAAAACTACGATGGCTAACAGAAAAATTAGAGAAAGAAAGATAATGATGGAGAGGATACGGAGTACCTTTCAATGAAGAGTCTGAAGGGAGAGATGAGTCACCATGAGTGGCAATCGAACAATGATAATCATCCAAGTAAGGAGGTGGTCGACGATTGCGAGGTTGTTTAGTTGTTGACGGCAAGGCCGAAGGAACATGATCTGGAACTTGGTAGCTCCAGTATCAATAATCTAAACAGAAATTGGTGGAATGGAGAGAGCTATACCTGCTAGATGAGAACTAAAGTTGATGTTAGCCGTTGAAAGCATTGCTAGTAACTTGTTATATTGCTCTGGTGTTATAACAGGAGGAGTCACCTTGTGCTTAGATTTAGTTGAAAGATTTGGAGATTCAGAACACTTGGTAGGGTACCCAATAATCTTAAAACAGCGTTCCTTGGAATGAACATCGCGCCCACAATGATCACAAGGATATTTAGGCTTGAAGGCAGAAGAACTTGGACAATTTCCACCTCCAAGGTGTGGGTGGTTTCCACCAGTAACAATCCGATTAGGAGTATAGTTGTTCGATTTTGCTGCAATATTGAGAGCAACAGCATCTGGCATAGGAGTCAATAGAGAATGTATTTCTTGTTGTTTTTCTTCTTGTCGAACAAGAGAATACATCTTTGTTGCACTCGGAAAGGGTTCCATTAACAAAATTTGGCTTAGAATTGTTGTAAATCGATCATGGAGGCCTTGTAAAAATTCTATCGCCCTATCTTGTTGTAGACGATCAGAAAAACCCTTTCCACTCCCATAAGTACATGGTTGAAAGGCCTGGAGGGAATTCAGTCCATCCCAAAGAGACTTGAGTTTCGTGAAATAAGCTGAAACCGACAAGTTTTCTTGTTTGAGCGAAGATATGGATTGCTGGAATTGGTAAATTTTGGGGGCATTAGACTGCGAAAAACGTTCTGACAAATCAATCCATATAGTTCTGGCACTGTCAGCATATAAGATGCTACTTCGAATTTCATCAGAGACCGAGTTCAGAATCCATGATCCAACCTGATCATTACACCTCTCCCATTGAAAAACTTCATTAGCTTTATCTTTATCAGGTCATTGGATGGAGCCATCCACAAACCCTATTTTATTTTTGGCTCGCAAAGCCATGGTGATTGCGTGAAGCCAAGATCCATAATTGTCACCATTTAGAGGAGGTGAAACCAACACTGCCGTTGGATTATCAGAGTGGTGAATGGAGAAGGGATCATCACCTAACATCTCTGACGAACCGGATTTATCTCCATCTTTACCATCGCCAGCCATTACAATGAGCAAGAAAAGATAGCAATTAAGAGAAAAAAATAATAATAAAAAAAATCAAACGTTCAGGCCGGTATCAAAACCCGCTCTGATACCATGATAAGAATAAAACAACGCCAAAAAAGTTGGTGTTCTCTATTTTCATAGAGAAACAAAGAATAATCTTTTCATATATATAACTCACGTTACAATTGTATTGTCATATATAAGGAGAGCAAAAGAATAGCCAAAGAAAGAGGAATCAAATCTGATATACAAGGAAAACCAAAAGATAGGAAACTAATTAGATATATAAGGAAAGTTGACCACCACATATAGCCGTTAACATTGTTTGAATGTACTTGAAGACCTATCCAAGAAAATTTTTCTCTTTGATATTATTTTTCTTTTTCTAAAAGTTGCCGTTTAGCAATTAGTTTCCAAGAAGACATCATTTTTTATTTTTTATGATACTATATTTTATTTGATTTGTCAAGTGTGATTTTGGCATTGTACATTATTTTTTATTAATTTATTTTTTGTAGAATATTATTTATTTTAATATATATATAGATAAACATGATTTTTCTTGCAAATATTCTTTTCTAATTCTATAACTTCTATATATTTTCTTTGCATTCCTAGAACTCTCCTTCAATAAGAAAATATAATATCTATCTCTATTTTTTTTTTTTTTTTTTTTTTTTTTTTTTTTTTTGCCAATTTCTGTGTGTCGTTGATAGTATCTCTCTAAAATAGAGCACCTGGAATCAGCAAGTCCCAAGAAATTTCATAGTATCAGCATAGAGCCAAAGGCTCCAAAAATTCAGCAATCCAATTCTAATCTCTTCAAGAAGATCAAGAGAAAAAATTAAGAACCAGTTATAAATTTTCAGTATAAATAGATAAAAATCATAAAAAGAGGGATATATAAAAAACACAGGGAAAATTAGATAGAAAATTACTTCTTGTATTCAGATGAGGCCACATCAAAGCAATATTAAGAAATTTGGATAAATTCTATCAGTATTTTCATTTGCATGGACTTATTTAGTTTTTATTAGCAAATTTTTACACTTACATATTTCTTCTTCAAATTTTAACTTTGTGCACGAATACAACATGTCATTCCTGATTAGTTAAATAATGTTGTCTCAATCTTTGATAAATAGTTGGGTTTATTTATGGCTATGGAATAAAAAGATAAGGTTGATGGGTGCGTGAATAAAATGTACTTATACACGGGGAAGATTGTGAGACATGAGGATTGAGATTGAAGAGAATTGAGACACATCAAAGAGATAGATGGGCGGAGAAAGAAAATATGACTTTAAGGTTAATTTTGACATTTTGCCTTCCGTTTATTGTTTTATTTTATTTTTCATTTTTTGTTAATGATAACGTAAAGTTAATTTAGTAATTTTACTGTCAAAATTACAATTTGTCCTTATTTACACAAATTGAAAAAAGTAAGGAAAATTTTCGATCAATAGGAAGGTAATTGCACATTTTATATATTATGAAGGAGTTGTTTACACTTAACCATATTAAAAATAAGGTTCAACCAAGATCTTGACCTGTTAATTTATTTGATCATCACAACTTAAATTTCAATAGCAGCATTAAAGGGTCAAAATTCAAGTTCATCAATAAAAGTTTAAAATTAAATAGAAGTTGACAGAATTTTAATTTAAAAAGTATCATATTTCTTATGTGATATGATAAGATTTTTTTAATATTTTTTAATAGTGGAGTATGAATCCTATATATCATATATTCTTAAAGGATAAATATGTCGTTTTATATTCTTAAAAGTAAGTAAGGTGGAATATAATTGTGGAACGGTATATCATTTGATTTATTAATTTGCCATGATTAATGGAACAATTTGTATTTTCAATTACAGTAATGTTATTATTCTCATGGAGTTGGTGAGCCCAAATGTTAGACCAATTAAATCACAGTTGTAGGTTTTACTTTAAAGCAGCCTACAACTTAGATTGAGTAGGCCCATAATTTTCGTGCACATGTGAGAATTTTTTCTGTTTCAATTAGTCAAGGTTATAAACGGTCAAGTCAACATTTCCTTATGATTTTATTAAAATTTGATCACATTTCTTTTTAAAAAATTTGAGTGCAAGGATTATTGCGAATTGAAATATTTTATGATTCACAAGTTACCTGAGATGCTTTGTATTAATATATTTTTAAGCTAATTTTTTAAGTAAAAATAGTAACGTCTAATGTGTACAAAACACAAGTTATGGTCTATATAATAATAGGGAGCAATTCAAGAATCACAAAAGATTGTTAAAATGTTTAGGATAAATTCATGATCCACACAATTAATATAAATTTGAGATAAACGATATTAAGATCCAGGTTATCATTGATTTTATTATTAATTATTTATTTTTGCCATTTGAAACTTTCTCTTTATTTTCTACTTAAAGGCAACAAAACTCCTTTTGTGGTACAATAATCAATTTATTACCATCAAATATCTGTATAATAGTAACAATGATATGCCTAATTTTAAATGCTATAAATTGAGTCCTCATTCAACGATGAATTTTCTCTAATTCAGAAATTTTGTTCGTAGTGTAAAATTTATTCATTGCAACTATATAATCTCATCCATGGTATGATATAAAGTTCACATAAAATTGAATGAAATTGACATGATACATATACAATTAATCAAATGAATTATTGTATTTTAATATACTTGTGGGTAAGTAAAGCACTTAAATATCATGGAAAACGTTAGCAAGAAAGGTAAAGCTTCCTGCTAAAAAATCATTAACAAGGTGCCTTCTAGATCACTTGACTACAACTTCTCCGTACACTAGTTTTCCATCGTAAAAATTTGTCACATGAACTTTGTCGTAAAAAGAAGTCTCATTCTCATTCAATGAATTAAATTATACATTAATCCAATAAATTCTTACTATCTTAATATATTATTTTGGGTAGGCAGAACATTTTAATACCATAAAAATGCTAACAATAATAATATGGATTAATTTCATTGACATCTTTCTCATATTTGGTCAAATATCACCCTCAAACATCTTTTGAAATTATCTATCACTTCAATACAATAATTTTTATTTTTTAATTTTTTAATTTTTTTGTTGTTTGTAAAAAGATACAAAATGATAATTTTATCCCAGTTTTTTAATCTATTTTCATCCAAAATATCAAAATTCCGAAATGATCAAATTGCTCTCATTTATTACTCTGTCACCCCCGAAAACTCTCCATCTTACTCTTTTGATGCCAATTTGCAGTATCTCTCCGTACACACACACACACACACATATATATATAGGACTGTTCACGGGTGTGTAAGGAATTTATACACGAATTAAATCATTATCATTGGATATAAAAACATAAACTACCTTTTTAACTGTCAAATAGAATCTGACGACTACTACTTCAGGAGCAAGAGAACAATTCGGTATATATATATATAATATCAGTATTGTTCAATAACCCTCTTTGGATTTAATCTAATGAATGTCTTTTATTTGTAATAATTTAGGAAACTACAGAATCTTTTTGTTACCATTAAATGTAATTGGAATGAAAAAACAAAAGTGTACAACTTTATTGAAGGAAATAAAATCTAAGAAATCATGGTTCCTAATAATAAAAGAGCTTCGTGCCGATTGATGATAGGAAAATTATAGTTGATCAAAAATATAAGATTTAAGAAAAATCACAATTGATCGAAAGTCACTTGTTCATATTATCAACAAAAAAATTAAATAGTTCTGACCTAAAGCTATCTGTAGTATTAGTTAGTATGCCCTATTTCATTTTTTTCCCCTCGCGTCTATGATTTTCGGAGTCTAAATCAAGAAGAACAATTTGGGGACTGATTTTTCTTAGACCGACTTAATGCATATTGCTTTTTTATATACTCCTTTCGGCTTTAATATATTGTGAAATCAGTAGTTTTGTGCATCTAAGTAGAAATTTTGATCCTTATTCTTATTATTTGTAAGCATGGTTCTATGTAATGATTTCTTTGTTTGCTTAGTAAATAAATAAATAAATAAAAATTTGTGGAATTAGTAGAACAACTTGCTCAGATTACGAAGGACCTATCAATTCGCCTAATGATTAAAGGTGACTAATTGAATTTATGGCCCCAAGCAAGGCATTATTGTTGACACAATAAACTACATCATTCAGAATTGTGCATCAATCAGTTTTTTATTTTATTTTTTATAAGGTGCATGCGCATCATCAGTTGAGAAGGGTTTAAAATAGCTACAAAATGTCTTCCTACTCTTTCTTTCCCTCTCCCCTCCTAAGAGCTTCTCGTTTTTCTCTTTGGACCACAAAACATAATTAATCATAGTTGGTCGAAAAATTAGAGTTGATAAAAAATATAAAATTTAAGAAAAATATTTTAGATGCGAGGGGAAGAAAATCAATAAAAATGTGGCAGCCTAACTAATAATAAAAAGAGCTTTGGGTCATGACTCTCTGATTGTTTTGTTGTGCGGATGAATCAGTGGCTTTCCATCAATTGTGATTTTCTTAAATTTTATATTTTCGATCATTTATGATTTTTTTCGATCAACTGTGATCATGATCAACCGTGTTTTGTGGGGCAAAGTTCTTTTATGATGAGGAACCATGATTTTTTTATTTTCAAAGATTTCATTTCCTTCAATAAAGTTATACCCTCTTATCTTTTCACTCCAATGGTAATAAAAAGATTTAAGAATTTCCTAAATTATTACAAATAAAAGATATTTGTGTATCCAAAAGCTACAATTAAAAGTTACTACTTCCTGTCAGGGAGTAGTTGAACACTAATGTATAAAATATAAATATAAATACACACACACACACACACACACACATATATATATAGATTTAGCAAACACAATAATCATCCGGATTGCGAATTTCGATCTCAAACGATGTAAGCGTCGTCATAAATCCATTTATTTCTTCTGCTTATCATCTTCTCCAGAACCCCCAATTGCCTAAACTTGAAG